TATAGATAGATTTTTATTTTTTTATTATAGTTAATTATTAATATAGATATAGATAAGAAATCTAAATCTATTAATATAGATATATTTAAATTAAAAAGAATAACCAATAACTAATTTAATAACTAATTATGTCATGTGTCATTCTATTGTTCTGTCATTTGGCTTCATGAGGTGCTTTTGTCTTCTGCTTTTAATTATAGATAGATTTTTATTTTTTTATTATAGTTAATTATTAATATAGATATAGATAAGAAATCTATATTTATTAATATAGATATATTTAAATTAAAAAGAATAACCAATAACTAATTTAATAACTAATTATGTCATGTGTCATTCTATTGTTCTGCCATTTGGTTTCATGAGGTGCTTTTGTCTTCTGCTTTTAATTATAGATAGATTTTCTTTTAGTGGCAGTAGACTATAATCACATAAGCTCTTATTTTTCGTCACAACACAAGTTTTCCATAAAAGGATTTCTTGTTTTAGAAAAATATATAAAACTACAAATATTTGTACAACTCGATAACAATTCTCAAAATAGAATTGTAGACTTTTTAATGTTAAAAAGTCTACACAACCAAAAGTAGTCGATATATATACATTGTCATTTCACGACACAAACAAAAAAGAAATAGTCTTCAAGACATACTCCAATATCTTCTACGATAAACAAAAAGACCATAAAAATATCTTCAAACTACTCCTTGAGCAACTTCACTTCCTCATTCTTGAAGTATCTTGTCCTTGCTATTAAAAAATAAAGATGAACATCAGTAATATATGCATATGTANTATTAACATATGCATATGTACAAAGAAGACAGTAAGTTTGAAGAGAAAATAGCCGAAAAAAGCGAGAAGAAGTAAAGCAAAGAAAGGTATTTCTGGAAAACTTTTAAAACCCCACAAGCAATAACTTTTTAAAGCATGGGAACCTCAACCTTGCAGTCGCAATATATATATATGGTAAGGATGCTTAGTCTAAATTATTATAAAATCTGTCAATCAATGTGAGATGTCATTGATACTTTGCGAAATTCAGTTATCAAAACCAACACAAATAATTATAAATCTGAATATAGTACATGAATTGAAATGAATGCACAGAGTCGTATTACATAATCTATGTCCAAATTATTTAAAGCAACACGACAACGTAATGTTCGACTAAGAACCTACTGAAACCATCTATAATGTACAATCAATCATCAGTCATTAAAATAACAGAACTGAACTCTATGCAGTCAGCCACCTAACAAATTGGTGACTGGAAATGCCTACTGGTTGCTTACATCCTGGACCATCTCATTACATTTTCTCATAAATGATGATAAACAACTTGGATTCGTACTTATTTACAGGTTTATAGTATTTCGTGATGTCCCGGGATTTTACTCGTATGCCATCTTTGAGCACACAAAAGACATGCCTGCTTTAAATCCTAACACAACCAGAATCGCTTTCATGCTCAATAAAGAAAAGTAAGAATCGTCGTAGCTATTTTCTTAAAATGAAGCAGCATGTTAAAGTGAACGAACTTGATTCATTTGCAGCGGTCGTGCTCTCTTTTTATTCGATATTCTATCATTGGAAAGGAATTAACTTAATAGATGGAGGAAAGGAAAGAAAATGCTAGGATGTAGTCCAAAATGCATTTGTCCAACGTTCTTTTAAAAGCTGCCTTTGTAAAGAAGAATGTTGTGTCCTTAAGGATATAGAATGACAAACTCTTAGAAAATGACCACTACAAACAGAAACCAGAAGAAGTAACTCCTTAGTATCTTTATGGCGTTACCAGGTTTCACTACATGGCCATAACAGATGAAAGACAAAGATTTATGCCTAGTACTGCAGAAGACCGGCTTCCAGAGAGAGGCCAAACGCACCGGGCTGTCCTTTAGAATTCTAAAACCCCAGAACCAATCGTTTACTCCATATTGCGTTTGTGGCAGTGTCATTCTTTTTTAGTTGGATCATTTTACAGAATCCTATGTCTTCCATGTAGAAATGATGATACACTTTTCTAATAGAGACAGAACTTGTAGGTATACATATTATGGATTGCAAAATGATTGAACAAGCATTTAGTGAAGGTTGGTTTTCTAGAGAAGGATTAACTAAGCTTTAAGGTGAAAATGGCTCAGCTCAGCATCCTTTTTCCTGTTCCTTTGTGAAGAGCAACAATGTATGGACAAATAAGATGTGGAAAATATTTTGTATTTTACAGGGCATTAGTTGAATATTGGAAATTGAGAATTCATCAAGTTTAATTAATAGAAAAGGAGAACCATGTCATATACACTAAACTGATTTCAAGAGAAATCCTTACTTGTTGCATTCTGATCAGCCATGCATCCATCTTTTCTTCGATTCTTTTTTCAAGTTGTAAATCCGTTCGTGCACGCTCAACAACCATTTGTTCTTCTAGCTTACTTTGCAACTCAACAGCCATTTCTTCTTCTAGCTTGCTTTTCAACTCGACAGCCATTTGCTTGCGTTCTTCTTGTAATTTTTTATCCATTTCTTCTTGCATCTCTTGACGCATTCTTTCTATTTGAGAAGACATACTTGCCTCTAAGTCTACCTGCTGCAAACTGCTCTTTTTTTGTAGGCTTCTTTCCATACCCTTTTCCACGAACATATCCAGTTCGTTCGCCAAGTACAGTGGCTAAAATCTCATCTGCACTCATTGGCTTCTCATTTTCTTCAGATTGTTGTTGACTTACAATTTCCTTTAGTTGGCCCTACATTTATGTATGAATTTATAGTATAAAATAGGAAACAGATAATAAAATAACAAAATAATGATGCGAAAATATTACATGAATTTGTTGCGACTGTGGATCCGACCACACAATTTCTCCTTTGTCATCCTTACGAGTATGTTGGAGCTCCCAAACTCGACCTGGTGCTGCTTTGTTTCTACTAACAGGATCTCTCTATAATATATTTCAGTAGAGAAAAATATTTATAAGCACATAATATGTTATAAATTAATGACGAATAATTTTATAGTGATTGTGGTAAATNTGCTGAAAAATAAAACAATCACGCGCAACAACTCATCGATACAACAAGCCACAATTTCATCTTTTTTAGATATAGACTGGACAGAAAGAACCATATGCCAAGGCAAGCATTTTTAGATATAGCAAACTAGAGATCCAATCCACAACTATGCTTGGTTCATGATTCTGATTCAATAAAGAACTAACCTGCACCACTATTTTCAGTCTCTGGAGTGGGATGCACACTTTCTACAAAAGCCCTTGATGATAATGAGTCCATAGATTGTACTTGATGAGGGTTACTTGATTGTCCCATATCGGGAGATAGTCGTGTTTGTGGATTAGGCCTAAAGGATGACGTTGCACTAGAATTATCATGTAGTACTCCTACATTGCCGCATCCACGACCCTTTCCACCTCGCCTACTTTTACCTCGTCCAATCCCTGTCATTTCCTGCAGCATCACATAAAAAATAAATAAAGAATTACATTTTAGAATTATGTCAATATTACCTTGTTAGAATGCACTTAATGCACCATAGAAACTTTTGTCTTCTATACAATATTTATATCATATTCTCTCAATTCTAAACTAAAAACAAATCAGAAACCAAGTTACAACAAACCAAGCAGGATGTAATCCTTCAATGACCTTGAACCAAAGGACAAACCTTTAACAGGAATAGAAAATAAAGTGTCAGGTTAGTCACAATGCAAGATAAAAAAAGAATATCAAAGGTTGCATATGCACTTATTTAAAAAAATTGAGTATTCTTTAAGGGAAGATGTACCCTATTCAAAAATTCATATTAATGGCAAAAGAACAGAGGCTAGAAAGGCGTAAGAAGCCTTGCTTAAAAAAGCACAAAAAAGCTACATATAGGAATCTATTTCTTTGATCAGTCCATATCACTATCCTCTCCTTCATTATCATCAAATATCTCTTCTTCGGTTTCTTCATCTTCGGTCATATCTATATCATTATCATTAATGAAACCATCTTCTTCATTATACCCACTTGTCCCAGCTTGTTCTATTGCATGATCATAATTAATGATGTGAGGTTCAACATCATCCCTGTGTACAGACACTAAAATATCATTTTCTTGATCACCATTACGCTCCATATTAAATTCAGCTTCCTCTTGTTGATAAGCTTCTCCATTCTGTAATGCTTCATCTTCAACATTTATGCAATTATCATCCTCTTCAGGCATATTAAAAAGGTCGCGAGGACTTGTCTTTAAAACAACAAGCCAATCTTTATCAACCATGTCATTGACATAGAAGACTTGTTCAGACTGAGATGCCAACACAAATGGCTCATTTGTATTCAAGGCACATCGAGTATTTACACTTGTAAAACCATACTTATCAATTTTATATCATTTTCCTATGTGAGCCACATCCCACCAATGACACCTGAAGAGGTAAACTTTTCTATTTCCCAGATACGACAACTCGTAAATGTCCTCTAATACGCCATAGTACTCCTTCTCAAAGTCTGAATCATCTCCTCTCACAAGAATCCTATTGTTCTGCGTTTTTCTTCTTGATTCAAGATCTTTCGTTTGGAATCTAAATCCATTCACCATCAATGTGGAATATCGATGCACCACTGGTCTAGGACCGATTGCTAAGCTTATGAGCTCATCATTTGCATTTCCTTGTGCAGTCGCAAGATCTACAAATTAAGACAAATAACTCCCTCGTAACCAAAAATATAATAGGACAATCAAAAAGTATTAAAAATAAAATTTGATTTAACACTTACATGTGCACGAAACCAAACAGAAAAGTCATTGTTATGCCTTTCATCTCTTCTTGAACTTTGTCTTTCAATCTCTTTTGCATTCCCTGAATTTTAATGATAGAATTAGTTAAGAACATGAATGAATTATTCAAATCTGAAATCAAATCCGAAACTATCCCAAAATTGACTAAAAATAGAAACTTACCCCATGAATGGCCAAACCACTTCACAATTTTGAAGAACATACATGCATGCTTGTTTAAACTCATCATGAGATAGAGTGATGGTTTTTGAACCACCTTTTTTTTGCCCACTATTTTTAAAGATGGTCATTTCAGCATTTGACACAGATTCATCGTCATTCCTAGTCGGTCTATTAAACTTGGTTGAGATATTCTTTAAGTATCAAGAGCAAAATGTGAGGCTTTCATCTGCCAAATAACCTTCTGCAATTGAACCTTCTGGACAATTTTGGTTTCGAACATATGACTTAAGTGTTCCCATGTACCTGTATGCAAATGATTAGTTAATATAATTAATGTGTCATTCTAAAATTGTAGTATTAAAATTTATATGAAAATATATTACCTCTCAAAAGGGTACATCCATCGATTTTGAACTGGTCCACCAAGCTTTGCCTCTCTTGCCAAGTGAATTGGCAAATGAACCATAACATCAAAGAACGCCGGAAGAAAAACAATTTGAAGTTTGCATAATATGATAGGAATTTCAGCCTCTAGGATATTAAGATCTTCAATTGTCAAGCACTTAGAGCATAGATTCTTGAAAAAAAATTCTAATGCTATAATTGGTTCACACACTTCTTTGGGCAACAAGCCACGTATAGCTACTGGAAAAATATCTTGCAACAATAAGTGGTGATCATGACTTTTCAATCCATGTATCCTTTTGTCTTGTATGTTGACACACCTTGAAATGTTTGATGAAAAGGCATCAGGAACCTTCAAATTAGCTAAGAAAGTGCATGCCTTCAACTTCTCATCTGGGAATAATGCATAGCATGCTGCCGGTAATAAAACATTATTCCCATCTTCAATTGGGTGCAACCCTTGCCTGATTCCAAGATCCACCAAGTCATATCTACTTTTCACTGTGTCCTTTGTCTTTCCAGCCATATTCATCACAGTAGATACAATATTATCAGACACATTTCTTTTTATGTGCATTACATCCAAGTTATGTCGTAACATAAGAGTCTTCCAATAAGGCAATTCGAAAAAAATACTTTTCTTCCTCCAATTGTAAGCATCATTGGGAACATTACGCTTTTGCCCTTTACCATAAGTCACATTTCTCAAACTTTGTAATTGCTCAAGTGCTTTGTCACCTGTTAAGGGATTAGGTGCAACACCCATCTCTATTTTCCCATCAAATAACCTCCTATTTTTACGCCATGGATGGTCCATTGGAAGAAAGCGACGATGACCCATATAACACAACTTACTATGTAAAGAAACCGATTGTGTGTCTTTATGGCAACAAGGACATGCAAGTTTACCTTTGGTTGACCATCCTGAAAGGTTCCCGTATGCAGGAAAGTCATTAATCGTCCACATGATAGCCACACGCATCATAAAATTAGTTTTTGAGTATGCATCATAAGTCTCCACCCCCTCCCACAATTCTTTTAACTCTTCAATCATTGGTTGCAAGTATACATCTATATCATTGCCGGGAGACTTAGGACCTGAAATAAGAAGTGTCATCATGAAATATGGATCCTTCATGTAATCCCTGTAAGCACGTGATTTTTGCCCTATATGAGAATTACTCCCAAAAAATTCAAAATAAAATGATTTTCCTTGGTGTGAAATTTTGTGAGATATTGTGATATTTTGGATAATTATTTGTATTTGTCTGTGTTTGTTTATTTGTTAAATTAATAAAAAATACAAAAATATGTCGCATTTGCATGTAGGATTTAATTCTATAATTGTTACTAATTAAATTTGTTTACAAAAAATGAAAATTAGAAAAATAGGCATCTTTTGCATTTTTAGCATTTAATGTCCAAATATACAATTTTATGCTTAATTATTACTTAATTGTGCGTTAATTGTTATT